AGTTTGTGCTACGGCTTCGTTGAGGCGTCTGCTTAGGAGTTCGCTTGCTGCATCCTAAGGATAAGGATAGTCTGCCAGCTCAGAATATTTCTATGTGTATCTAATCATTTACTTGCACTTATCCAAAAGAATAAGGGAACACCTCCCAGCATGGCTAGCCAAAGGTGAACTCAAAAGCATCAACAGTTCTATCCTTGCCCACATGGTTGACTCCAGACATCATGTGGACCCCAGTGAAGCCTTTAAGTTAATTTACAAGGTCCCGCCAAACTACCCAAAGTCCCTGGGTCAGCGCCTGTTAGCAACAACAGAAGCAACCGCGATCCGGTTGAGGAAGCCGGTTTTTTGCGCGCAAAAGAGCCTCCTGCAAGTCCCGAAATTGACATGGCCAACAGTCACGTAACTGCCTGCATCTTTCCGTGCTCTGATTGGCTCCCGCTTGTAAGGAAAGACGATGGATCGATCGTTTAAATGTAAACCTCCCATGTAAATGTATGGCCTGAGGAGAATTTACCGAAAGTGTACACTCGCCAAATGCTGTTCTGAATTAACTAATGGCAATTTTGCAACTTTAAAACAGTCCAAGTATATCGTCAATGATTTCGCATAAGTTTGTTTTCTTTTCTGAAGTACGCAGTAGCTAATTCTGCTCTTATCCAACCTTAGTTCCCTTATTTTTTTCGACTTTGTTAATTTAAAGAGCTCTTTAAGCTCAACTTACCTCGGACCGGTTGGCTCTAGTGGGCTGTGGGGAACAAAAACCGATAGGAAGCGGCGTCCGAGAACGGTTGGGTGCTGATTGGATGCGTTCGGAGGGACGTTGTGGTGGTAGAGTTACGGTTCGTTTTAACCCAGTACGGAAGGACGGATGTTCAGAGGGCTCGTCAGGCGGAAGCTGCTGTACAATTGACTTCTCCAATCCACCAATATCTTGAGAAACTTGGGTCTTAAAAGGAATTGGGATTGCGGTTAAATATCACTGTCGTGGCATCTTGAGAGATAGCTTTGCATTAAAACTCTGCGAAAGGCATTCTCTTAGGAGACCTGGCGTGAAAGGATTAAAATGGGGTAACCGGAGGCCTTCATTCGGAGTCATTTACTGACTGACTGGAGTGCTCTGGACGTGGGTTGACAATGTTGGAGCGCTACAGAGATGGTCAAACGAGTGTCTCGCAATAATCTGCTTACCAGAGAATGCGTTATTTTGCGTGACCGTACTGTGCGTGGATCGGCTACTTCATGTGGGCTACTTCTTATTATTATATCATTGCAGATTTATTGTTATTTTTGTTGTATTAAGAAATGTTGCTGATTAATATTTTATAGCTTTTTTTATTGTGTAATATTATTTTACTGATTGGGGAAACACCCAAACCTCAAAGTGCATGAAATGCAACCGAAAAACCTATCGCAAAACCCAATATCTACTCAATTTTATCTATCTAAAACTGAACTTCAAAAGAAACTGTACAGCAAACTAGAAATCTCAACTGTTAACTGTACTAAAGAGCTTCACTGTTGACCGTGAACTAAACTGTTAACGAAACTGTAAACTAAGCTAAAAAGTTGCCTACAATATAAACCTGAACTATAAATCAAACTACAGAGTAAACTATAATCTAACCTACACTGCAAAAGTAAGCTATTCACTAAACTGTCAACTGACGTAGAATGTCATACTTCGGTAAATGGATAGCCTCCGTGTATAAGTGTCTAGCAACACGTTAAGTCACTTGGTAACGGCAACCTCAACGTCCGACAGCTTCTACTTGCCGTTTGTATTGCAAGTTCCAAAGGCCTCGAAGTATTAACAGTTATTTCGGTAATAGGACACTTACCCAGTATATCCATTGACGGGTTTATAGTTCAGTTTTATATTGTAGATTACTTTGTAGTTTAGTTTAAAGTTAAGTTTTCAGTTTAGTTTACGGTCAACAGTGTAGCTATTTAGTAGAGAGTACAGCTTGGTTTTCTAGTGTAATGCACAGTTTAGTTTATAGTTCAGTTTTAGGCGCACATAACAGTGAGTAGATATTGTGTTTTGTAATTGGCGTTTCGGTTGCATTTCATGCAAGTTGAGATTTAAGAGTTTCCCCAATCAGTAAAATTATATTACAAAATGGGAAAAGCTATAAAATATTCACCAGAAACATTTCTAAATACAACGAGAATAAAAATAAATCTACAATGATAGGATAATCAAAAGTAGCCCATCAACGCACAGCACGGTCACGCAAAGTTAAGAATTCTTTGGTAGACAGTTCATCGCGAGTTCTTTGGGCTGTGCGCCCAAGTAGCAGATGAACCCCCTTTGCTACAGCTGATATAAAAGTTTGAACTCACTTTTTCAGCCTCATAGCTAAAGAATTGATTTACTGGATATTTTTGCCAAACCTCAAATACAAGGTTCGGAAATGATCAAACGTATAGGTAGTAAAATTAACTTGGGTATGAGATTGTGTGTTAACGAGTCGGGTATGCCTTTTTCTATAGAACCAGAGGGGTTTGAATGAGAGATTATTGCCTAATGTGTATGGTTGCTAAGCGTGAAAAGCTATCAGACGGACTGGTTTGCCTCGGGAAAAGAAGACAAGCACTTTGTTGACTGGATTCCTGGGTCATGAGATCACAAGGTAAACATGTAAAGGACGAAGGTGAATATGAAATGAAACCCTCGGTGGTGACGCCTGGGTATATTAAATAGATACATAGTTATGTATGCTTAAAGAGGACGTGCCGGAAACGAACATTCTCATGTGCCTCCTACGAAGTCACCAAATTAGAATTACTTCGGTCATAAAAAATATCACCATTAAGTAGTATTCTATAGTTAATCCGGGTGTTTGCGATGCTGCGATACAGGGGCACACGAGTTTTAATCATTCAGTCTGGATAAAGTGCGAAAATATAAGAGAAAGCCCGTAATGAATAGGATTTTTAACAAAAATGTCAGTTCGTAAACAAGTCTTCCTGGAATCCCGAATCAAAAATAGCCATTTATGCAGAACATCATCACTTTTAAGAATAAAAAATGAAGAATATAACTACTCTAAAAAATGCATACTCATCGTTTTTGAAAACTTAGCAAAAATTCAGGAGACCCTGTGACCGTAGCATCTTTGAGCTTCGTGATTTTACTTCAACTCCCCTTAAATATAAAACAAAACCAATTAGACGGTAGGCTTACACTTTCGTCGACCATTGATGATTTTTGGGTGACAGCTCGCTGAGCATCCAGGGAAAACTTTCGTAAATGCGTACATTCGTCTTGTAGCACGTCCACCTTTTTCTATGAAAATAAAACAGTCCAATAAACTGCAGATAAGGCCACTTTCATTACTGGAAGTAATTTCATTATTAACTGTTTTAGTACCGATTAAAATTCTGATATAAAAATCAGATAAGACAAGTCTCATGTGAAATACTAAAAGCTACTTTTTCCATTCCCAAAGAAGCTTTCGAATACAGGATTGACGGCTTTATATCCCTTTTGGCTTGGCCTAATGTCTTAAAATTGGATTTTATAATAAATTATTCAACCATCTCCATTCATGCGTGCGCTGTAAAGATAAGTTGACGAAATTGAATCCTGCACTAGAAAACTAAAATGTGAGATTTTTGCATGCTTGAACACGGGTGAGACTCCTAAGATGTGACGTGAAGCAGCTAACTAAAAAGGGAACTCAAAACGCCCAGTCCCCCATGATCGTCAGTTAAGCCCTTAAAATCGCCTAGCATGCCCCACAATTTTGCCGAAATGTATTCATAGCTATGAAAAAACGAACCCTCCTTTTCCGAACTAACAGATTACAGTTTTATACCACATATTATTATACACTAAACGACTAAGCAGGGGCTATTAAGTGCATGCTTTATGACCGACCCCTTATATAATCACAAATGCAATCTTTAGCATAAGCCAGGCCCTTTTTAGTTTTAAAGCATAAGCGCCTCTGAAACTACTGGTGAAAGGTCATGCAATGTGCTTGTAGGCAACAAATGGTCTTCACCTCAATCCACATCCAGCGCCCCAGTTAATCATCAGTGCTAAGGTAAACTACTAAGGTGAGGTAAACTTATGAATCTTAA